ATTTTTGGGCTGGGGGCGGGGCACAGGGAGAGAACATTTGTGTCTGATTGTGGTTGGAACTCTGAGGGTTTCTCTGGAACTTTGACCACTGAATCATGTGGTCATTGCCTCATGAGGAAAAGGGAGGGAGGAGGCCAAGACAGAGACCCCCTGGTATGGGGAAAGTCGGGAAAAATGTCTCTCTCCACTTCTGCTTCCTGAACATGCAGATGGGACTAGTTGAGGAGATGTTCTTATGAGCTGGTTCACTGCCATCATTGGCCAAGGCCTGTGCTAGCCCTTGGAGGACCCAAAGCTGAATCATGCATGGCTGGTGATATCAGGCTCTGACATTATAGCAGGAGTGATTAAAAATCAAACAGATCTAAGGAACTAGCTGAGTCCATATAGGTTCCACGTGTGATACATACACTCAGAGGTTTGGGAGTTCAGGGACAGTTTTGGAGGTCTGCTTTGGAGATGTGCATTTGAGCAGGCACTCTAGGTGTAGAGGATGTGGCTGGAGAAAGACACAGAGGTGGAAAAGTATGAAATGTGTATAGAATGGTTAGCTGTTCACAAGAGTTCCACCAACGAGCATGGGCTCTGGGCCTGGTGAAGGAGGTCAAGGCCAGGTGATGGGTGAACACTTGGTTCAGAAGTTGGTGTAATTAGAGTACATGATGGTCACTTATTTTGGGAGTTTTTTTTTTTTAAAACATCTTTCAGACTTAGTTCTTGCTACCTGATTACCTGCCCTGCACCCCATTCTCGATTTTCATTTGTGACTTAGCCAGTCAGTGGGGTAAAGAAGCCAGACAGTGGGGTAAAGAAGCCAGATGGAAAAACATACTAGCATTTATTGGGGGTGGGGGTAGTAAGGGCGGGGGAGCATATTCTTGTGTCCTATTATACCAGGAACAGCTGAGATATAATCAGTCCCTTCCATGAGGTCTTCTGACCAAAGGAGATATTGTCGCCACCTGGGCCTGAAATCCTGCACTGAGAAATCCTAGGCCTACTTCTTTGGGACAAAGTACCCCCAAACCACCATTGAAATAGACGAGCTGTTAAGATGGGATCTCACATTGGGTCATGATGATCATTAAGACCATGGCCTGGGTGATGTCTTCTGATTGTCTCGAGCCAATTGATGGATGGCAGGGCCTGGTGGGTGATCAAGATCCTGCTTGTAATTAGCTACTTGGGAAGGAGCTAATGGGCCCATATTGGTAGAAGCACCGAATGAGCAGCGTCCAGATGTTTCATTTTCAACATGGCACTCGTCTTTCTCCCCCGGACACGAGGGCAGGCTCATGGGGTGATTGTGAATTGTAAAGGTGACCCAACTTCTGCCAAGTTCTCATCCTCTTTGGCCCTACTGTCTCCCCTTTGAAAGGAGGAGGTCTTATGTAGTGGTCCAGCTAATGCTATATTGCCCAGAGCACTTGTATTCCCTGCTCGAAGAGGGAATTCTCAGGTTCTAATCATCTGTAAGAGATGGAATGGAATATGTGTGCTTCTCTTCACATATTTGACACTCTCTGCATTTACTAAAAATGTGTATGTGTATATTTATTTTTTTGTGGGAAAAGGCGGGTCATTTTAAAGGCAAGTTGGGGGCTTAGCAGCAGCAGTTGGTGGAGCCTCAGAATTAATTTCTGCCTCTACAGGAAGAAGAATCCCAACAGCCATGGGATGACTGCTGGGTTATCTCTAGCTGAGAGGCAGTTGAAAAGCCCTCATGGAGGATATATCAGAAGACCCAAATTCCATTTTTAGCATTGCCTCCAAATTGCTAGGTGACGGTGGTCACCTCTACTTAATTCCCACTTGAGTTTCATCATGTGCATGAAATGATGGTATTATACATATACAGGAATATCTTTTGCCTCATTTTGTGGGAACACAGGTAACCTGTATTTGGGACGGATCTTGACTCTGGAACAAAAACATTTTCCATAAACTTCAGTCAAGTATCTGGCCTGCCAGCCCTCCTTTGCTGTTCTGGAGTCTGAGGATGGGACAGGCTCAGGATCCTACCCTGTACCAGGTAGTATTTGTCCCTGAGGTGCCTGGGCTTCTCCTTCCTCGGGCTGATCTGTGAAAGTCTGGCCCCTCTTACAGACTGAAAGGGGGAGAGATAGGGGTGGTTTGAATATGCAGAGGAGGGACTTTGAGACATTGACATACTAGAGACTTAGCTTAGTGCTTTATTTACATAGTGAGCAAATATGTTTGTTGGGGGAGGGTGGACGTGTTGATGGAGATTGAGGGGGATTAAAGCTCATCACCCACTCCTTAGGGCTGTGGGAGGGCTAGGCATGTTCCAGCCCTGGCTTTCCTTCCAACAGTTGGAAATGGTGATTTGTAGTTCCTACTCATCTATTCATCTGAAAAAGGCAATCTAGGGTCTCCTCAAAAGGCTTAGGGGACCCATTATCTTCCCAGGCAGGGTTTCCATCCTCCTCTCGCTCAGCTCCCTTAAGACCAGCCCCATTTATGATTTTCGTCAACAGCAGCAGTCACAATATGGTTGAGAGCTGCCATATGCTGAGCCCTGGGAACACGGCAGGGAGCAGCATCCCAGAGCGCTGCCCCGTGGGGTGGGGTTTCCACTCTGTGAATATCTGTGTGTATGAGAAAGAGACTCAAGTAGCTGTGCAGGCGGAAAATCACAGGCCCTGAATGTGCCAGAGGTCTTTCCTAAACTGAAACTGGTCTCCCCCAATAGCTTCTAGAATCATACAATGCTAGAACCAGTGTCTCCAGCTTGAGAGTTTGGGGAACCTGAGGTGAACTTCATTTTGGGGTCACAACCTGTGAAAGGATTTATCTAGGATGACCATGGAAACTGCCAGGGGCCCTGAACTTGAAAGTGACCTCTGGCTCCTTTTTCCTGTCTTCCCTGCTCTACTTGTGGGGAGCATTCTCAGGTACGCTACCTCCTCTGATGCACCAGATGGCTTTTGGAGAAATGGCTCACGGACTCGGCCCGCATCTGATGGTGCCTAGGTTCTCATTGCAAGCATCCTGAAGTATCGGCTGGGCCCTCAAAAGGCCTGCCTGCCTGTGTCATGGCCTCAGCACATGGACTCCCTTTATTATTGAATCCAGCCTGGGTCTCAGGCCCCCTTGGGGGATCTGTTCTTTGGTTTCCTGGGAGGATTTATTCCTATGTGACTGACTTATCCCCAGGAGCCTAAGTCAGTCAATCATGTGGGAGTGTCTGGCTGTGTGCCCAGCTCAGTGGGTGGGGGATATTTTATGGCAGTGCAAGCTTGATTTCAGTTCTCCTTAGGTGCTGGTAACTTCCTTACTTACTGAAGCTTTTGCTGGGCAACAACCTGGCCAGACATGGGGTGATCTTCCCCAAGTCACATTGCCAGTGGTGACAAAGTTGGGATGGAACTTGGGCTCCCTAACCATTGCATCACCTTGCCTCTTGGGAGAATGTCACCGGACCCTGCAGTCTTACCATGAGGTTGTACAACTCTGACTGAGGGTGCAGCCTTTGGTTTCAGAATCCTTGGGTTAGAGGACCTTCTCGTCACTTGCTATGTGTGATGTGTTTATGTGACTCTGCCTCACTATCTTCCTTTGTTAATGGGGGTTAACACGGTTGATTGCAAATGACCTCGGATTTTCTTACAGCTCTTCCTATTGAAAGGTGGACTGTATTTCCCCACACCCTGGAGATTGGGCTGATTTAGGAGAATATGGTGGGCAGTGATGGTGTGTGAGCTCTGAGCTCAGGTCTCAAGAGGCTTTGCAGCTTTTGTTTTCACTCTCAGAATGTCAATGTTATGTGACGAAGCCTGGCTGGCCTCCTTCAAGATGAGAGACCAAGTGGAGGTGATTCCCAGCTAAAGCCCCAGACAGAAGTGAGATCAGTGGACACCACATGGAGCAGAGACGGGACGTCCTGGTGGAACCCAGCCCAAGTTGCCCACTCGGCATTGTGAGCACAGAGATGAGGCTGAATCAGTTTACCAAGGTTTTAGGTAGTTTGTTACATTGCAGAGGCTAAGTGGACTAGGGGATTAAAAACAGACCTTACTTGTGGGGCTGTTGTGAGGATTACATGATGGGGTGGCTTAGACCAGCACCCAGAGCACAGCAGCTAGTACCAACAATCATGTGGCACTTCGTCTTGCTGATTGGGTTGGGTTCTAGCTACTCTGACCTCTTTTTATTAAATATACCACATTCTTTGCCTTTTCAGGACTTTGCACTTAATTCTCTGCAACAACCTTTGTTTCCCCCCAATCCCATCCCCATGGTTGAGGTCTTGGCTGAAATTTCCTTTCATTCAGGTATAATATCCTCTTTACTGACTTCCATCCTTCAGTGTTGTATGTATTTCTTACCAGACTGCAAATTCCTTGGAGGTAGGAGCTGGGCTTGTCCTTGTTCTTTTGTTCCTCCTTGCTGACTATCGCAGTGCTGTGTACAGGGGCTCTCAACTGATACTTGAATGAATGAATTAACAAAAAGAGGTCCTCTAGTCAATTTGGGGTTGAGGTTGGGGCTGGGTTTCCAGGAGAGGAGTAGTCAGATGGGTATCAAATTATTACAGGTCTTTTGGCTTGTGTCACTCTTTCACATTGGGTCAAAGGTATTCTTGATACTTTTAGTCTTGGGAAGGTCATGAACCTCTCTAACAAAATGAAATGAAACCCTTATCTTTCACCATGCACAAAACTCAACTCAAAGTGGATCAGAGACTTAGGAATACAACCAGAGACCCCTTGTCTAATAGAAGAAAAAGTAGAGCGTAATCCTCATCATGTGGGATTAGGCCCCAACTCCCTTAATAAGACTCCTGTAGTGCAAGAATTAAAATCAAGAATCAATAAATGGGATGGACTCAAACTAAAAAGTTTCTTCTTGGCAAAACAATCTGGGAGGTAAAAAGGATGAAGTATTAAGTAGGGGCTTAAGTTTATTAGATGAATGAGTGAATGTGAAGGAGGATGAATAAACCAGTGATTATATAACAGCTGGCAGGCAATTATGGAAAAACCTTTTTTTTTTTTTTTTTTAAAAAGTGTATTTCCAGTCGATCAATGAAAGATACATGTATAAAAATGTACTAAGTACAATCACACTGGTGTTATATTACAGAGGGATTTGTTACAACCATTCCCTCTGAGTAAGGTGGCACATGGGATGGTCACAGTTGGTTCACAAAGAGTGGCAAGAGGAGATGACCAGTTGTACCACTTGGTCCAATTTCCCAGGATGTAGAACTTTGTAAAAATGGGAAAGTCCTGGATAAATCTAGACAGTTGGTCATGCAAGGGAAATGGCAGCCACAGAGTACTGAGTACAGTATAGCATTTAGGTTGAGGTATTATTAGGCGTTCTTCAACTTTGCTGTCACCCCTTTCTCCCTTATCTCTGAAGTAAAATCCACTGTACTATTAATGAGGGTGTTACTTCTTTCAAAGGATTTCCCCAGTGAATTTCAACTTGATCCTTATGCTAACCTGGGCTGCAGGACAGTTCTAACCCAATATGCAAGTGCAGTATCCTGTTTCAAGGCTCCTGGATCCCAAAAGAATATAGAGGCAGAGCACAGACTCAAACTTGGATCTCTGGAGGCCACTGTGCTATTCTCTTCTAGAACATTCTACCTGGATCTTTCTGGCTACAACAGTAGGCAAGAATCATGGGAAGAGTGGGACCCTAAGAGCCAGGTCTTGACTGATCTCCTCCCTTGGAACAATTCAAATCCTTTCTTCTCTGCCTGCTGTTGGTCTCCCCATAGCAATCTCCATGTTGGATGCCCTTGAGCACCCACCTGCTGTCCATGAAGCATCATGGTATGGTAGAGACAGAGAGATACAGTGATATTGGCTTCAGGATGATGCTCCAAATGGCTCAAGTCCAGGTTTTCCAAGAGGATGGTCGGCTTAGTCTGCCAATGGCAACTTGATTGTTTTGAGCTCTTTTGGGGCCTTTTTGCTAGGAGTTATTCAAGTGATAGGTCAAGTCACGACTGGTGGTTGTGGTTCTCAGGTTCTAAGATTTGCCACACTTGTTGCACCCACTAGTATACTTATCACCTAATCTGCAGTCTCTAGCTCAAGGTCGCGAGGGCTCCATAACCCACTCTGGCTTATCTTAAAAGACTGGGCATAGGTTACCACTACCAACAGTAGACATAGTTTTTCTTGAAAGCCTGTTACAATTCTATATTTTTGGCATTTATGACCTCTAGGAATATAAAGTATATGCAAACCTTCTTTTTTCTGTGAAGTGAGATTTCCCCTGACTTAATTTAATTGAAGCAGTGTCATTCTTGTGGTGATATTCTTGGGAGAAGCTAATGAGTGTGGGGCTTAATACTTAGCCCTATCCTTTAAGATGTCGTTTAGAATTGCTCTATCATATGGTGGGTGCAGATGTGTTAGGATCTCTTGATCATTGGATTTTTTTCCTGTTCTAAGAGCTGAATGTGGATGAGAAATTTTATTTTAAATAAATAAAATAAATAGTTTTAAGAATAGGGTGCTTCTGTGTCCTCTTGGAAGATTTCCCAGATGGTGGCACCTGTGGTCCATTAGTTTGAACAGGGTCCTCTGGTGCACCTATTACCTTTAGCATGCGCACCCTTCCGTCTTACACTAGCTGTGACCCCACAGCTCTTGGAAGCATCTTTAGATTGTTTTTTCTTTGGCGTAGAGACAGAAAGCAGACTAACTCTCTGAATGGAAGCGATGTTAACCTTGAGTTGGTCATGGAGATAAAGCCCTTGTACACAAAGGTCTCATCTGAGACTTCAGCTCTTGGCACTGCGGTGTGAGGTGATGGTTTGACAAACCCAGTATGTTCCTGAGTTCTTGCCTGGGTTGGTATGCTTCTTGGAATAGTGGAAATGTGTGGCCCAGTTACATTTGGTTCTAGGTTTCAATTATTTAGAAGATCATAAGAATACTTGGGCTAAAAAAAATAAAATAAAGTTGGGGAACTCAGTGCAATAGAAACATAGCCTCCTTATAAAACCCCTGTTTACAAGACATGCGGCTCAGCAGCAGAGGAAACTTGGAGGTGGACTGGCCTTTCGGTCCTTCTTAATCAACCTCCTTGGAACCCTTAAGGAAGTCGGGTCTGGTAGGTAACAAAGAGTAAGGCTGGCCCATTCTTCCCTCTATGAGGAAGGGTCAAGGGGTACTCGGGCCAGTGATCCAATGGCCTCTTCTGAGTCTGCATGAATTTCTACAGTCTCTCATATGGTCAGTGAGCTCTGGGATCGACGATGGCTGCCTCTGGTCAAGGGCCGGGACACATCCGTCTGTTCCCTGGAGCAGGCTCTGGGACCCGGTGTCCTATTTGGCCCTAGAAGATGCTCCCCAGATGAGAGTTGAGCTGAGAAGTCCCCTGAGCATGGGCCATCCCTCCCATGTTCTCTGCTGCTTCTCTGTCCACGGAACACCCAGTCTTCCACGTGCTTTCGCTTGGGAGGACTAGAGCTCTTTGGGGTGCTGGTCCTGAAGTCCTGCTCTGGGACAGGTGGCACTGGACCATGAGTGGGCTGAGCTGCTACAGGAGTAGTGGCAGGTCTTAGTTTGCTTCTCCAGTTCTGGATTTCCAGGTTTCTTTTTTCTGTGGGCAGTTGGTCAATTTTCTGAGCTTTTGAGATGGGAGTTTTCCCGTAAGTTCCTTGTAGAGACAGGAAAAAGTATCTAATGGGAAACAAAAGAATAAATGTTTTCTGATTTTGTTGACTTCCTTATTTTCGGTATTGAAAGGGGTATTAGACTCTACCTTCCTACAAAGAGCCAGGTTTTTACTGCACTTCTGATTATCAAATCTAAGCTTGGGTGCATGGGGTTTGAGGAGCACAACAGAGTAGCTGACATTTAGTATCTACCAGGACTATTCCAAGGGCTTTGAATATTAGCTCATTCTCCCACTAATTCGTGTGCTTGGTATAGTCATGTGCCATGTTATGATGATTCAATCAATGACGGACAACAGGTACTATGGTGGTCCTACAAGATTTGATAAGCTTAGGGATATAGCCAAAGCTTGGTTTAGGTAAGTATGCTCTATGATGTTTACACTACAATGAAACCATCGAAGGATGCACTTCTTAGTCATGTGCTGCTTAATGACAGGGCTACATTCTTTTTCCCCCTTTTGTGAACAGATGAGGAAACTGGTATTGAGAGGCTGAGTGATGTAACTGGAGCCATACAGTGGTCCACTCTGGTCAGAACCAAGCACTCTGAATCCAGAGTGTGTCCTACCTACCATGTACATTGTACACAAATTATTGGGAGAATTGGGAGAATCATCATTACATGGCACATGACTATACCAAGCACATGACTTATGTTTTGGGGCCACTCTAATTTAGGCAAATGTAATTGACTGGTAATGCCAACAATTTGGAACTTAAGTCATTTTAAAATTCATCTTATTTTCTAGAATCTGTGTACCATGCCGAATGGAAAGCATCACTACTTGCCAGATGGAAAACACTAAGGCCCCCAAGTGATGAGTTGAGATTTGCAAGTTCTCTTGACAAGTTGAGATATCTGTTGACTAACCCAGGGTTCCTTTCCTCCTGTGGTGGACTGTGGAGTTCAGTGTCTCCATATGTAGCTAGAATTTTCTCCCTGTTCCAAATTTAGGGAAGGTATGAGGAGGGGAATAAACCTTAGGTAGTGTGTGGGAGCAAACACCAGCTTGTAACGTGGGCTGCTCACATCCCCTCTTTCTTTTTTAGAGAAAGAATCTGA